CGAAACGCAGGCAGCCAATCCGCTGCCAGCCGTGGAGGGCGCGGGGGCGGGGCTCGCTTATGAATATTAAGCAGCCGCCTCAATCCGGGGAACGAGGTCAAGCGGCTGGTGCGGTGCGGTGTTGTTGTTGTTTTGGCGAAGTATCCCCCCCCCTCCAGTCGAGCGGGCGAGGGTTCGTCCAGCCGATGCCAAAGCACAGCCAGACTCGGCACCCAGGCGCCCCTTCTCCCGCGTCCGTGGCGACTGAGAGAGCGGCGATGCCGGGCGGCGGCTCCAGCGCGGGGCTGCGCGCCTCCATCCCCGTGGTGCTGAAGAAGCTGATGGAGAGCCCGCCGCCGAACCTTCTGGAACGGAGCAGCGGCGGTAAGGGCGCGAGGCCGCTCGCTCGCTCGCTCGCCCGCCCGCGCGGGGGGGGGGCCCGAGACGGCCGAATCTGCTCGAGCGCAGCCGGCGGCCCCGAGCCCGGCCGGACGATCGTGATGATGATGATGATGATAATAATAATAATAATAATAATTAAAAAAATATACATAAAAGAACAACGCTTGTGCCTGTTGTCCTGGAAAAAGAAGTTTTATTTCGTCAACCTGTAGCTGTTGAGTTGATTTTGTTTTGTTTTTGTTTTTCTACCGTGGTCGGAATCGGGCCGAGTCCTAAACAAATTAAATGACGAGTCCAGTCCCCGGGGGGGGGGGGTCGGTATAGCGAATAAACTGTTCAAATCCGGTGCGAATCCCTCGTCAAATCGCGGCGTTAGTATATCTAAAAAAACAGCCCATGAAAACACACACATGGGCGACGTCGGGCCTGGAGGAGCTCGAGCGGGGCTCTTGTTTACTGCCCTGTGCGCGCTCCCGGCGCGTGTGCGCGCATGTCTGGGGGGGGTTTGAGACCTGAAATCGCCCCCCCCCGGAGCCCGCTTGTGCGCTTCAACTCGGTCGGGTCGTGACCCACAAATATAAATCATACACTTTTATAGAGCGCCTTTCAAGTTAAAAATAAAAAGCAGTTCCAAGGGAAGAGAATTACAGATTAAGTTGGGCATCAGGCAAGCGTGCTGTTAGAAATAGGAATATGGAGGATATCCAGACACTGACGACTGAACTCCTTCTTCACAAGAAGGGTTTGAGTCTGGATTTGAAACGGGGAGGGGGGGGGTGACTCCCCGATATCCCAGAGCTCTGGGGCGCAGCAGGAGAAGACCCGTCACCCCTGGGGTACGGAGACACGTTTTAGAGCCCAGAGACCCGGGAGTGTGGCGTTTTTATCAGGTCTCACTCCTGGTTGGCCTGGCTTGATTGAATTCATTCTTGGATCAATAACAGGATGATAGGATGTGGTCCCTTTCCCCCGAGAAAATCAGAAGACGCATACACGCACACGCACACCTC